AACACTGAGAGGAGAACCATTCCATCCCATCATTTTAAGGTAATTATTTGGGGTTTGGCTGACCAGTGCAGCAAAACAAGAGAAGTGCTGGGACGTAGCACCGTGTTCTTCCATGTCGGCGCTCCCAGCGACCGGGACTTAAAGACACACTCATGAATTGTTCAGGCCAGGGCTGGCGTGAGGGTCCACTCTGCATCTGAACAATGCCTCACCTTACTCTCAAGAACAGAGCCATCTCCAGCAAAGACTCTGAGGCACCTCAGACACGAGGTCATTTCCAGAATTCAAGTCTGAGATGCATCGAGTGCCTCTAAATGAAAATGCACCCTTTACATGCTAATTACGCCAGTTCAAAGAACAGCCCAGCAGTTTAGAGGGTAAGAAATATTTGAGAAGATGTATATGAAAAGCTTCATGGCTTGACACACAACCCCAGCTTGCAGGAACCTCAGAAACACTGCCTCTGAATACTTCCCACACCCTGCTTGCTGGAAGGAGCTCTCAAATGGAAGGAGGTGAAACTGGTCTGTTTCCTCAGTAATCATACCTGACAGGCTAATTTCTCAGTGGCAAATGAAAGTGGTAAACATCTGGGTGATATGAACAATTCCAAAATATCTACTCCCAATGTCAGATTCCTTTCTTGAAGTTTAATTCATGGAAAGATTCTGGCCTTCTCATTTATAGGCTACAAGTAGAGACAACGTCTTTACGGAAAATCAGCTCACAGCATCTTTATTAATTATAGATCTTAATGTTATTTTAACTTTGTGTTTCAACTTATTACAAAAATATCTCTATTTTAAGAGAACGTTTCTCTCTACAGATAAACTAGGCTGTTCTGTGTGAGGGAAAGTAGTACAGGCTAGGTGAAACAAAAGTACATGAGCCATCCGGCATTCCCAGTGTCTGCTGGGAGACCCGAAGTTCAGGTTTGCCTTTAATTTTATCAGCTCTCTTCACTCACTATTTTGTAGTAAAACTCTTTTTCTATTTTCATCATATGCTTCTCAGATTCTCACTAGTTTGACAGCACACACATATGCATCTTTTACTGAAATAATACTTTCTAACGTAATGAGCACTTACATTAATAGCCTAAGCACCACCCAACACCTATCCATTCCTCTCAGAAGCTCCCCAGTCCCTGAGCCGAGAGGCTCAGCCTCCCTCAGCTCCAAGTAATTCCTCCTCAAGGCACCAGCGTGTAGGGCATCGCAGACGCATCTGCCCCAGGACTGGAGCTCACACTGCAGCCCTCTGCGGGGAGCTCCACCCTCAGAGCTGACCCTTTTCTGATTCTCTGGCTAATCCGCCCCAGGACTGGAGCTCACACTGCAGCCCTCTGCCAGGAGCTCCACCCTCAGAGCTGACCCTGTCCTGATTCTCTGGCCATTGTTCTTTCCACCGCAGTCGAACATGAATGAGCCATTGTGTCTAGCCATTCTTCTCTAGAATTATTTGTGCTTATTTAAAGTCCTTAAGAGAACATCAAGAAGTGAAAACATTACTCTTCTCAGTAGTACCACCATTCTAAGCTTGCACATAAATATTGTCTCCTCCTGGGAGAAACACCTGGATTTACCCCGAAAGAGCCTGGTCCAGTGTGTATGGCCAGGTCTCAGGAGCCCATCTCAAGAATCATCGTCACTCATCCAAAGCAGCCCCTCCACAGACAGCTGTTGACGGCCCTGCCTTGGATTTTTCTGGAACTGACCACGCGTGGAAAGCAGGGCTGGCCCAGGGCACAAGCGCTGACAGCCTGGGTTCAATGCCCGTTCCATAACTCACGGCTGTGTGACCTTGGTGCTCTGACTCAGAATTTCCAAGCTTTGATTTTTTTAATTGAAAATTGATGGAAAATCCACACAAAAGGTTTAGCACATGGTAAACACCACAAAACAATTATTCATGAGATTGCTCAAACATGACAACACTGAGTTCCTGAAAAGAGCAGTTTGTATCATAAAACATACCAAATAGTATTGTTAAAGGTTTGTATTATCTCTACTTGTAAAGAAAGACACTGATTTTGTTTTTACTTAGTACTTTATTTTTATGTGAAAGAATTCTAGCATTGTATAGGCATGTAGATTAATGAGCCAATTGTGTAAACTTCTGTGAATGAATAGTTAGCATAAAACAATATACTCCTTTCTATTACTCTTTGAATAGTGAAATTTCACTTCACTATTAAATCCAAGAAACATTTTTTAAAAACACTTGTCAATAATAAAATATTTATGGTCATTTTTATTTCTTTTTTGCCATATTTGTTTACCCTATTTTTTTTATTTTACATTTGCTAACTGTGTCTCACAAATAAATCCATCTTAAAATGTATGAGGTAGACTGACAGGCTTTCCTCTCAAAATGCCTGTGTACAAATCTCTTCTCTTATAGTTAGCTGAGTTAATTTTGGCAAATTACCTAGTCTCTCGACATTAGCTTTCTCATCCCAAAACGCAGATACTAAATCTATCTATCTCACAGAGTTGACATCAGAATTAAACTAATCAATTTATAAACACTTAGAATCCTGTCTCACACAAAGTAATCCCTCCAAATATAGCTATAACAACAAGGAATGAACCAAAAGCAAACCACTTAAATATTCAAACACCACATTGCTAGTAATAGTGATATTAGCACATTGAATGCTGTGCATAGCTTAAACAGGAATGAACCATTGACACACGATTGAGGATAAAACATGTTTTCTTGCTGCTGTGAGTAAATTCAGATACCACTGGTCTAACTTACAGCCACACAAAGGAAAATAAATTACCTGGATTTAAATTTAGAAAAATTCACACGGCTTGATGTCAAAGAGCCACATCCCATTATTTTGCTAATTCTGAGACTTTTTACTATAGTGATAGAAATTAATGTTAGGCAACAATGCTTTCTGTGCTCCCACTAATATTAAATAAAGGTGATGTTTCAAAGAAGAGATAAAATAATGACAACAGAGAAAGCTGACTTGAAAAGCTAAAGATGAAATGGCACAAATGAAACGGGTAAAAGCAAACAGATCAGAAGGAAAATGACAGAAAATAATATCTATCAGTGTTGAAGATGGCAAATATTGTTAGATTAGAATAGTTCAAATGGGGATACAGAACAGTTTCTCCGACAATATTCTGACAGCATAGTACACCTCCGTGGCCTCAGATGCGTGAGGGTTTGTTCCCACCAACCACCAATTTGGGAGCAGATTGTCCAACAGGCACCAGCCAGGTGTCCCCAGTTCAGTTCGTTCCTAACGCCACTCACCTAGAGACAGCATCGGAGCCCACAGACTGAGACTCAGTTCCCATGATGGCCCCCACTTCAGACACCAGTCACCAGCCCCAGGTTTTGACCTGTGTCTCGGACTAACCAGTCATACATCGGGGTTCCCATGGCCCCTCCTTGGGGTCAACTAATTTGCTAGATCAGCTCAAAGAACCTGTGTATTTATAATCTGACAAAGAGTATAGACAGACAGCTGGGTGGAGGAGATGCACAGGGTGAGGTGCAGGGAGGAGTCCAGTGCGTCCATGCCCTTGAGGGTGATGGGCCATGTCCCTGGCCATAGGCTGCAGACTCCACCTGGTGTGGCCAGCAAACAGCAGGACACAACCTCCTCCAAGGTCAGGCCCTGCAAATGCACCTTCTCCACCCCTCGGCTCCTCCCACCCCAGGCTGCTGCAGGACTTGTCCTTCTCTGCTGCTCTAGGTTCGCTCTTCCTCAAGACATTTATTAATGACAAAGGGAGAAATGGTTACCCTATGCTGGAGAAACCAGTCAGACACACCCCTTAACCAAATCAGTTTAGGCTGACATTCCAGGCAGAAGAGGCGCCAACCCAGTGCACTCCTGACAGGGCACACGGAGAAGACACATTTTCTCCATGCTATCCCTTAAAGATAATAATTGTAGCCTCAAACTAATCATGAAGAAACATCAGACAAACCCTGATGCAAGGTCACCCAGCAAGCTTATTGACCAGTTCTCTTTCAATGTATCAAGGTCACAAACCCACGTGTAGAATTTGTGTTTATGACTGGAGAACCCACTCCGTTCAGAGGGAAGTGGGGGAATGAGACGGCTAAGTGCAGGGTGATACCACGGATCAGATGCTGAGGGGTAAAGGACGTCTGTGAGAAAACCAGTGAAACCCAGATTAAGTCTGTAACTAACAGTGTTGCACCAAGGCTAATATCACGGCTTTATAAAATGTCCCGGCCAGGTGCAGTGGCTCACGCCTGCAACCCCAGCACTTTGGGAGGCCGAGGCAGGGAGATTATAAGGTCAGGAGTTCGAGACCAGCCTGGACTGCATGGTGAAACCCCGTCCCTACTAAAAATACAAAAATTAGTCATGCATGGTGGTGCATGCCTGTAGTCCCAGCTACTTGGGAGGCTAAGGCAGGAGAATCACTTGAACCCAGGAAGCAGAGGTTGCAGTGAGCCGAGGTCATGCTACTGCACTCCAGTCTAGGTGACAGAGTGAGACTCCATCTCAAAAAAAAAAAAAAAAAAAAAAAAAAGTTCCAAGTTCATGCAAGAGGTTAGAATTAGAGGAAGCTCATGAAGAGTGTTATAAAAACAATCTGCATTATTTATTATTTTTGCAGTTTTTCTGAGAAGTGTAATTTCAAAACGAAAAGTTAAAACACTATTAGGCATTTCAAATCTTGGCAGGATCAGAAATCAGATCCCTCAATACTCAGATCAATAAAAACCAAAGCATGAGAATAAATTTTATTACCAATTGAAATGGCTAGATGAAGAGCAATGAAGTCAACAAATAGGAAGTACAGGAAACAAAAAAATATACATAAATATTTTCAACCAAAAGATAGAGAATAATAAAATGGTAGATATAATCAATAATGTAAATCCTAGTTCTTTGAAAAACTTACCAAATAGACAAATAACTAGAAAATTTAACCAAGCAAAAAAGATAAATATGACAAATATACAAGATCTCTCATATATGGAATCTTAATGTTTTTAACTTGGATGCACAGAAGCAGAGAGTAGAGTGGTGGTTTCCAGAGGCAGGGAAGCGGGTTGGGAGAAGTTGATGAAAGGGTAGGAAGTTGCAGTCGTGCAGGATGAATAAAGCTAAAGATGGAACGGGCAGCATGAGGGCTATAGTTAGTGATATTATATACTGGACCTTTGCTAAGAGAGTAGATTTTAGATGCACTTAACAGAAAAAAAAAGGATAACTATTTGAAATGACAGACATGTTAACTTGCTTGGCTATAGTAATCCCATCACATCACTATGTTCATGTGTATCAAAGCACCATGTTTTATACCTTAAATACATACAATAAAGAAACTGAAAGGGCAAAATAACAATGAAACAGGAAACTTTTACAAGGTAGAAGTTACTATAATTTATCAATCCTATAAAAATAAATTTGAAAACATAGGAGAAATGGAGGAAACACAGTTTATAAAAGTTAGCTTCAGATTTAATATAAAGTTTAATCTTAATAGAATAAAGAATTACCTCACCAAAAAATCACGTCCTCATAAGAATATAAGAAACAATTTTAACACATATTAAACATAGGATATTCTAAATATTACACAAATTATCTGAAATAATAGAAAGTGAAAGAAAACTACCAAATTCTAGTTATGAAACAAGAATATCATTTGTACTTAAACCTAATATAGTACCAAGAAAAAAACATAAACTACTATCAGTGATAAATGTTGATGCAAAAATATTAACTATTAGCAAAGAGTGGTTACCTGGGGTCTATTTCATGAACTCAGGGTCAGTCCAATATGAAGGAAGTCAGCAACATGACGTAGCAATCCCTTTAAAGAGAAAAATTAATAGCATTACATTTGATGCAGGGCAGGTGATATGGTTTGGATCTGTGTCCCCACCCAAATCTCACGTTGAATTGTAATCCTCAGTGTTGAAGGTGGAGCTTGGTGGGAGGTGATTGGATCGTGGGGGTGGATCCTTCATGAATGGCTTGGCACCATTCCCTTGGTGATGATGCTTTCACGATGAAAGTGAGGGAGTTCTTACGAGGTTTGGTTGTTTGAAAGTGTGGGGCATTTCCTTCCTCTCTCTCTGAGTTCTGCTCCTGCCATGGAAGACACCTACTTTCACTTTGCCTTCTGCCATGAGTAAAAGCTCCCTGAGGTCTCCTCAGAACCAAACACTGACATACTTCTTGTACAGCCTGTGGAACAGTAAGGCAATTAAACTTTTCTTTATAAATTACCCAATCTTGGGTATTTCTTTATTGCAATGTGAGAACAGACTAATATGGAAAATTGGCACTGAGGATTTCGGCTTTGTATAGAGACCTGAAAATGGAGAAGTGGCTTTGGAATTGGGTAATAGGCAGAGGTTGGAAGAGTATAGAGAGCTCAGAAGAAGATATGAAGAAGAGGGAAAGTTTGGCACTTCCTAGAGACTTGTTAAATTGTTGTGGCCAAAATTCTGATAATAATATAGACAACAAAATCCAGGCAGAGGAGATGTCAGACAGAAATGAGGAATTTATTGCGAACTGAAAGCAAGGTCACTTTTGTTATGCTTTGGCAAAGGACTCAGAGGCACTGTGCCCCTCATCTAGGGAATCTGTGAAACTTTGAACTTGAGAGTGATGATTTAGGGTATCAGGCAGAATAAATTTCTAAACAGTAAAGCATTCACAATGTGACCTGGCTGCTTCTAACAGCTTAGCTTATATGTGGGAGCAAAGAAATGATCTGAAACTGGAACTTCTATTTAAAAGGGAAGCAGAGCCTACAAGTTTGGAAAATTTGCAGCCTGCCCATGCAATAGAAAAGAAAAGCCCCATTTTCAGGGGAAGAATTCAAGCAAGTTGCAGAAATTTGAATCACCAAAAGGAAGGAAAATGCTGATAGCCAAGAAAATGGGGAAAGGGCCTTGGAGACATTTCAGTGACCTCTGTGGCAGCCTATCCTATTACAGCCCAGAGGCCTAGGAGGGAAGAATGGTTTCATGGGCCAGGCCAAGGCCCTCCCCAACCCTGCACAGTCTGGGGACACTGCTGCCTGCATCCCAGCCACTTCAGCTCCAGCTATGGCTCAAGCAGGCCAATGTACAGCTTGGGCCACTGCTTCAGAGGGTGATGCCTTCCACATGGTGTTAAGCTTGCAGGTATACAGAGTAAAAGAATTGACACTTGGAAGGCTCCACCTAGACTTCAGAGGATATATAGAAAAGCCTGGACATCCAAGCAGAAATCTGCTACAGGGGCAGACCCTTCATGGAGAACCCCTACAGGGCTGTGTGGAGGGGGAATGTGGAGTTGAAGCCCCCACACAGAGTTCCCAATGGGGCACTGCCCAGTGCAGCTCTGGTAAGAAGGCAACCATCCTCCAGACCCCAAAATGGTAGAGCCACTGGCAGCTTGCACCCTGCACCTGGAAAAGCCACAAGTATTCAACTCAGCCAGTGAGAGTAGCTATGGGGTGACCCCTGCAAAGTCACAGGGCTGGAGCTGCCCAAGGCTTTGGGAGCCCACCCCTTGCACAAGAATGCTCTGGATGTGAAACATGGAGTCAAAGGAGATTATTTGAGAGCTTTAAAATTTAACGACCCCCCTGCTTGATTCTGGACTTGTGTGGCGCCTATAGCACCTTTCTTTTTGTCAATTTCTCCCTTTGGGGATGGGAGGATTCATCCAACGCCTACACCTCCATTGTATCTTGGAAGCAACTAACTTGTTTTTTATTTTATAGGCTCATAGATAAAAGGAACTTGCCTTGTCTCAGGTGTGACTTTCAAGTTTCAATTTCGAGTTAATGCTGCAATGAGTTAGGAGGACTGTTGCGAGGGCATGATTGGATTTTCCAATGTAAGAGGGACATGACATTGGGGAGGGGCCGGGGGTGGAATATATGGTTTGGATCTGTGTCCCCACCCAAATCTCACATGAATTGTAATCCTCAGTGTTAGAGGTGGAGTCTGGTGGGAGGTGATTGGATCATGAGGGTAAATCCTTCATGAATGGTTTAGCACCATCCTCTTGGTGATGCTCTCATGATGGTAAGTTATTGTGAGGTCTGGTTGTTTAAAAGTGTGTGGCACCTCCCTCCTCTCTTGGTCCTGCTCCTGCCATGTAAGACATCTCTTCCTATGTCACTTTCTGCCATAAGTCAAAGTTCCCTGAGGCCTCCCCAGAAGCAGATGCTGCCATGCTTCCTGTACAGCCTGTAAAGCTATGAGCCAGTTAGACCTCTTCTCTTTATAAATTACCCAGTCTCTGGTATATCTTTATAGCAATGCGAGAACGGACTAATACATCAAGTGAGTCCCAGAATTGGGATTTATCCCAGGAGGGTTCTTGCTTCATCCAGGAAAGATTTCAAGGGTGAGCTGGTGGTGACAGAAAGCAACTTTTACTGAAGTAGTGCTGCCCCTTGTGGAGCAGGGATACCCCATGGACAGTGCACCCAGAGTTTGCACCTGTGAGCTGTGAGCCAGCTGTTTTGAAAAAATGTCTGGAAAAGGAGCAGAGAGTTTCCAGAACCATGTAAGGTAACTTCCATGTTGTTGCCATGGCATTTGTAAACTGTGGAGGGGTTTTTATGCAAATGAAACATGAAACGTGGCACCAGTGGAGGGGTCTTTATGCAAATTAGTACTGAGGGACGTTAAGGCTGCTGCCATCTCCACCTGCTGGCTTGGCAGTTTCACTGCACCATTTCCACCCCATCCTGTTCTGGCCAGCAGGGTCATGCTGCAGTCCTGTCCACTGCTCAGAAAACAAGTCCTGCTGGTTTCCCGTCTCAGATTTACAGACATTAAAAATGTTTTTGGCAAAATCTAACCATTCTAATACAAACATTCTATAAAATATAAATTGACGGATATTTCTTTAACATTAAAATATAATAATGTTTTATATTTCATTGTATTATAGATATCTTTTTCTTGTAATACGTAAATGTTTTATACATTTTAGGCTAAGCTAGTATTTATCAATTCATATGTATGACATATGCACATATAAATATGTACAACTATATATAGTTATATAGTTATCTATAAATATGTAAAACCATATATAGTAAATATAAATACATAAATATATGCAAATATGTTTAACATAATTATATTTCTCCTAAAGCCAGCATCATATTTACTGGGAAATCACTAGATATGTTTTCATTCAGAATGTGATACTGGAGAAACCATTATGGAGGAACTAGAAAACCTGAATTGAGAGACAATCATTTTAGATCATCAAAGCTAGTAAATTATTGAAAATATTTTATGATTTTTTTAATGTAACATAAGATCAGTTTAATATACAATACTCATACCTATATAATAGACAGTACTAGAAAATTTAAAATGAGAAAAGCATTACATTTCAGAAACACTAAATAGATAAAGATTATCTTCTAAATTTTTGAAACAAACATGCTAACATTCTACTAAGTTTAGTAATCAGACAAGGAGGAAGTTATCTCCTCACTTAAAAACATTGTACTTTATTTTCTATTAGCCACATTAAGATAAAAAATAATAAAGAGAATTCAGAACTGTATGGGAAAAGATAATATATTTTGTATTATTGACAATATTTTTATACAGAAAATTCAAAGAAATCTGAAAAAACTCTAGCACTAATAAGAGGTTTCACTGAGATGGTCAGATAGAATACCAACATTTAAAAAAAGAGCCATTGTGCTTATTTTCAACAATAATAGTCAGAATTTTTAATGGAAAAACAGAAACTTTTTTTCTCACAGTGCTGGAAGCTAGAAGTCTGAGATGACAATTTAGTCATTCCTGGACCCTCCCAAGGCTCTCTTTGGCTTGCAGATGGGGCCTCTTCCTGTGTCCTCGTGCAGTCATTCCTGTGTGTGTGTCTGTGTCCTCATTTCCTCTTCTTATAAGGACACTAACCATATTGGACCAGGGCCCACCCTAATGACCTCATTTTCACTTAATTACCTATTTAAAGGCCCTATCTCCAAATGCGGTCCCATTGTGAGGTACTGGGAGCTCGAGCTTCAACATATGAATCTGGCAGGGATGCAGTTCAGTCCATAGTAACATCAATAAAAAAGGTCAACCCATTAAAACATGGGCAACACACACGAAAAGGTAATTTACAAGTAAGAAAACCTAAAGTCAATCTTCTGAACACCAGTATAAAATTACTTGAATTCAGTTAAACATAAATCAAAATAACAATGTGATATTACATTATGGCAATAGTATTTGCAGAAATCAATAGGTATAAGAATATGGAGAAATGGAAACTATTGTGTAATGAAGTACATGCATAAATTGTTCAAAGTGATTTGATCAATTTGGCTGAATAATACTTTTTCAAATGATCCTGCACTAAGAACCAGCAAATTCACTAGTACATGTACACCCCAGATTCCAATTACCCAGAAGTGCCCATCACCAGCACTGGAGCCAAGTAAGCCCACTCTGGTGTTTGATGTCTTGGCCAGCATGAGAAGGAAGACATCTGATTGTCCATCAATCCAAGTGCGGGGTAAAGTGACCCTAGGACTTCAATGAGATGAAAAAGGAAAGCAAAGGGGTGTTTCTTGAAGCAGATTAGTGTTGGAACATTAATAAAAATTATAGAAATAATTTTAATGCACAAACAGAATTATCCAAAACATCTGAATTCTTAAAGGAAAATTTTATAATAGATTCTAGCAGCAGTTTTAATATTTTGTTTGATACACTAAAATTCTTTATAATGGTACTTAACTACATAATAACTAATATTCCTGTTTTTATATTACATCACTGGCTGAACTTTGTTCACGTGTCCAACCTTTCTTTGAAAGCCAAA